AAGGAAGCAACTCGAATCCTTACTGTGGTTCCGTGTATAAGTTTATTTAAAATGTTTATTCAATTCGCGTCACGTACATTGTCACGAAGTAACGTCTAATCGCACAGTTTGTTTTATTTTCGAGATTTGCACTCGCGACAACGCCTGGGGGCTGTGATGCCCTGAGTCGCGAACACTTTATTCTCGAGATTTCGCACTCGCGACAACGCCTGGGGGCTGTGATGCCCTGAGTCGCGAACACTTTATTTTTCGAGAGGTCACGCCTCTTTACGGGTCGGTATGAACCGCGACGACGCCTCAAAGCACGGTGCCTTGGGTCGCGGTTTGAGTGCGCGCACTTGTGTCCTGGAAGCCAACGACTATAGGTAAAGATTGATTCTTAAAGCTCGACGCGTACAGTATGCCGATCCAGATCGAAGTGAAGATTTTTCCGACGACCGTGGATTTCCACCACTCGTCAACCCGCTTCCGATTGGTCCCCTTTCGGTAACGTGACCGTCGTGCTTACGTAAGCGACGATCCTTCTTGCACACGATCCTTGTTTGCACACGGACCCAAAATTGAAAGAACCGGAAGTCCCCTGATCGATACCTGCGTCGCCGTGTCGCGCCGGCTTCCAAGACACAGGCATGTGTTATGCACGTGCGGATATAATTGTTATTGACCGAACCCGTCTTTCGCATCGCATCGTCGTGCACGACCCTTTTTGAGCTCTATACGACAGACGCCTTCGAGGCGTCATATGGATTTAAAATTCGTATAGTAATAGTATTAGACACCAAGATTCGACAGCCTCGATCGTAGAAGACGCTCTTAAAATTTATTTGGAAATAATTATCGTTTATTAAAAGTAATATTAAAGTAGTATTAAATTTGACGCATTCTACAAATTTGAAATCCGATGGTGATGCGAATATAATACAATTGGTATACGTATATTGCAACATATAAAGAGTTACTTTCAAATTAATTCCCACGAGACTGAAGGAGACACAGGATGGCCGTGCGCGCATCCGGACGCCGTAGTCCAGTGCCCTTTTAAGTTAAAGGGAAGAAGAGTCGAATGCCGCAGAAACCGAAGGGACACCGATATAAATCAACGTCCGGTCGGCACGACGACTTGCGCGAGAACGAAACGGGGTGAGGAAGCTGAGGAAGAGAGAGACGCACACGCGCGCGCGCGCGCGCGGGCGGTGAGACACCGAAGTAGTAGAAATCGCCGCGCGTCTCCCCCTCGCTACTTATGCTAATGCCGGCAAATCAATTTATTTATATTTATTTATAGCATTCAAATGTTTCCCCCGGAACGGGGCTGAGAGAGCGCGCGCGCGGACGTCGCCGTCGCCGGTTGTCGGCGCGGACCACCCGCGAAAGCGAGCCTGCGATCCCGTTCGCTGCGGGCTACGAGATCCGTGGGGTCCAAGATCGCCTCCCTCCCCCCTCCTCTTCTCTCAGACTGATACAGATAGCTGGAGGATGCTGGACGTGGGTCTGAGCAGTCCGCTCGACGCATCACCAGACGACTCGAAATTTCATAATGCAGCCCTCTGGATCGTGATCAAGGTCTAGGAAAGATAAGACATTTTCACGAAACGTATAAGCTTCGAATTCCGAGCGACGCAGAAAACAGTTTGTCGTAACAGTTGTGCGCTGTTTTCTCAGAGGTATGATTTTTTTATAATTTGGCTGCGCATTGAACCGTGTGCCCATGTGCTGGTGTACGCGCGAGAGACCGCGCTCGCCTGATAAAAATTCGCAGACGATTAGAGACAGTTGACTGACAACCAGTTTATTTTCTAATATTGCGCACGCCTACGTGCAACATAATATATATACGTATACATATTTATATATTTATTCTACAATCTACACCATATATAATGTTTTGATGTATTTGAAGGTGTTCTAACTTTAAGCTTGGATCTGTATAATGAGAATCCTAAATTTTGACGTAAATTGATTAATATTATACATAAAATATTTCTTTTATATTTTGGAATATACAATTCGAAAATTGCTTTTTATTTTTTTAAATAACTTAAATTTTTATTCTTTTTCCACATACGTACGCCTATTGCGGATGCATCAAATTACTTTGTTTTTTCTGTCTTGCATTATTTCTTTATGTTGAATTTACCGGTATGAAATAATTTCACTCATATGTATGCGACTATATACTGTGTAACAAGGAACATCACATCTGTCGGGCGCGGTTGACTCGAGTCATGCGTAACTTCGAAGAACCCGAGTATACCCGAAGTCCTCAGTAACGTATACATAAAAAGATGTGATGTATCAAGTGAATCTGCTTACAATTTTAAAAATTATTTTGATTTTTTAAAACTTCACTATGTTCCTCTAATATTTTTTATCACTTATTTTTTGATATCGAATTATTCGCTGAAATATAATCAAAGTATCGATAGTAAATATAAATTTACTTATTGTTAGATGTCTAGTAAGACACCCTTTATAAGCAGCTGGGTCAGAGTGCACCACGCAGTTAATCGTGGTAATTAAACGATTATGAACATGGACGTATAAAATGGTTTCAATGTGATTCCAGAATTTTATTTAGCACAAGAAAAATGTTTCTCAATATTTATTTGTAATATTAAAAATATTTGAATTTGCATGGTTATCAATGGCTTTTTATATGGATAATTTTACAATAATTGCTCGTCGGCATAATATTGAATTATTTATAATATTGAATTACTCGTTATAAACCTCGTTGTCTGAGGTCTCTTTAAGCTGAGTAGTTTACTCCGCTTCATTTATTTTTGAGTCACTCGGTATAACTGGAAGGCTAGCGGCGCGGCGCGCGGTCAGTTGTGTCAATTATAGGCGTGGACATATAGAATATACAAAGAGTATTTGGAGACGTCGAATCTCTATCGTAAGAAGTTTTTGCAAAGCAAAGAGCTGAGGTTCCTCACATTTTCCCCGAAATGGCCGTTGGACTCCGTTTTTCCTTTCTCGTGACAGTGTTGCTCTTCCTTTGCTGCATTCATGAAGGTATATTAAGTCAAGCATCTGAAAAATATTTAAGTTTTAATTAATATTATTAACCTTCAAATAACCTTCTCGAATATCGAGATTGCGATTGCTTTGCACGCGCGTATGTAACACCATCGATCTTCCTACAGAAATTTACGTGTAGTTGCGTTAAAAATTTTATCTCGCAAACGTACTTCTAACCTCCATTTTATAGAAACAAATGTACATTAGATGGTATTTAAATAGCCGGCGTTTAGAATATGTATCTCGGGGGTAGCGTATTATAATACCTGCAGTTGGGAGTAGGAAAGTTTCGAACATTGTTGTACTATTTTAGGCCTTTCTATCAAATGCTGGGTATGCAGGTCAGACTCAGATCCGAAATGCGCGGATCCGTTTGATAATTCCACAGTGCCCATTACAGACTGCAGCCAAGAACCCGGTTTGGAACACTTGCCAGGTGTAAGGCCGACGATGTGTCGTAAAATTCGTCAAAAAGGTTGTTTATCTGTAATAGCATTATGCAACACATACACATAAAAAGGACAGATCTCTTGTGTATAGATTTTATTTTGCTCTATCTAGTATAGTTTGTATATCAATTTTCGTTTACAGTTAACGGGGAATGGAGATACTTCCGTAGTTGCGCCTACATGGGCGAGCCAGGAATTGCGGGCGACGAGCGATTTTGCTTAATGCGAACTGGAACGTATAATATATTTATGGAATACTGTACGTGCAATAGCAAGGACGGTTGTAACGCGGCGCCCTATCAATACGCAAATTGGTTCCTCTTATTAATTGGCCTGATAACAACCGTCCGATACGTGTCCGTCGTTTAAGAAAGTCTAGCCAAAGATTCTTAACAAGATCTGATTCACTGGATAGTTTAGATTTCAGTAACTATCTTTACAGTTCAAGATTGACTTGTACTTACGCAATACTCCTCTCATCTTACACGTCTAACGTCAGGGAAGACACAAAGCAATCAAGCAATTAAATATATATAGATATCGTAGTTTTTATAATGCAATTTTGTAATTTTTATAATTTTTTTTACACAATCAAGTGCCTTTTTGTATCTATTATATCTTTAAATGTGAAAATGAAATTTTTGAATATTTATAAGAAGGAATAACACTTCCAGTAAGTCAGTAATTTACCTTGGCTTAAGCTACATTTTATCAATAAATTACATATTTTATAGAAATATATTTTTACTGCTATATGAAAAGTGTACTATATATATGTACTATTTTCTCAATTTTTACATTATTATAGTACAAATTATGAATCTCACTAATATCGAAATAGTCGATTATTATAACCCCAGATATTAAGGATAAGACTACTAAAACCGTCCAGTTTAATCATGGGATCAATTTAGTTTTAACGCGGCATTTTGCTATTTTATTATTTTTGTACATATTTTTTTTAGTAATACTTAGTCTTTTACTGCCATACAACATTAACAAGGCATGATCCATACACATTGTATCACCATCATGTATTTTATTCGTATAATATTCGTATTTAACACAATTATTCACATAAAGCACAACATATCATTTTATATATCGTGCCCAAAATTTTATAAAATTGTTACACGATTGTGTATAAAGTACAGATAATAAAATAACAATTTCTAAATTGAAATTAGATTGAAATTAGACAGTAGAACTCCGTTTATCTGAACATGTCGAAGACAAGACAATTTCGATAACCGAATGGTTCGGATAGTACAGATTCACTTATTAGTTTCGATAATAGAAACTGACGTTCACAAAAAACTGAAGTCGAGCACGTTGAGCTTTTATTATCCGAATGATGCTACTAATAAAAGCTTAGCTATAGATTTATTCGTATATTTGGAACAGTATTCAAAATTGTTCGTATAAATAGAATGCGAATAAACGGAGTTTTACTGTATTGACAATAAAACTTGGAAAACTTAGTGAGTTTTTTATTCGTCGCTGGAGAATAAAATTGTGGATAATATCAGATATATTTATAAATAGTTTTTCTTTAACATACAATGCAAAAGTAAATAAAAACATTACTTTAAATGAAATATACTGTGTACTTTTTTGGTGTCAGCGGTTACAAACATACAAGTATTCCTTAAAATATCATCGAGAAAGTATATAATTAATACCGTTATAGAAGATATATGTATAATTAATATTACACAATTTTTCAAATACTTTGTAATTCTATCTTTTTTTGTGGCATTCTTATTTGAGCTGTAAAAATACTGAAAATACAACTGAAAATATTAATATTAATTAATTAATACTTAATGTCTTTAAAGAGATATAGTGCAATTGTATAACGATATATTTTGCAATTTTTGTGGCATCTTAATATTAACATAAAATATTTTATGTTAAATGTATAAATAATGATTGATAAAAAAAATATTTCGATGTATCACAATTAGAAATATACTTTTTGCTAATATCGACTCCGAACATTGATCGTTTCTAGTTAGCACAATAATAAAAATGAGCATTTAACGTATATAAAACTAGTAAAATTTATCATTATTAAAAAGATATAGCATCATGTTAACGACACGCTTTTATAAACCACTATATATACGAGCGTTTTAATTCATATAAAAATTATATTATGTTATCTGTGTCGAAACAATTAAAATATCAATTAATACTAAAGTTACATGGCGAGCTTATTCTTGTGATCTTACAAAATATGATATGTACTTGTTACAAATATATATCCATTACACATATATGCTTAGATAGCTCTTACTTTACGGACGGTTACATTAATCGGATTCGGGATAGAAACATCGAGTTCTCTCCTTTGTGGAATCAAGGACGGTTAAAATTGGCAAAGATTTTATATATACAAAATATATGCGCGATCGAAAATTGCAACTAGATTCATTTAAAAACAATTTCCTCTTGTGAAATCATATAATGATTTTTTCATGTGTAAAATCAGCAGCAGATGATAGACATTGTTCACTATGTGCAGCAAGAAAGATTCACGTGAACATTTCCATTCGAACTCTATGGTATTCTTTGGAATAGCCTTATCGATCGGTGTCTTAAATATTTATGGCGTACGTACGCGCGTATATAGCGCTCTCATTTTCGCCGCGGTGTCTCTAGATACCTAAGCGGAAAAGTACGTCGTTCAACGGTTGCGGTTTTCATAATGTTGAATAAGTTATCGACGTCCCGTGCGCCTTACTTTTATTCAAACGCCTGCCATTTCGTTATCTGTTGCCCCGGTTTCGCTAAAGCCTGCTTCCATTGCTCGCCGTAGGCTCCACCAACGTCAGGCCCGATTACAAAGTGGCCCACGGGAGTCTTCTTGCCTAAATAATTGTGTGATAATAAGAACAATACAATTATATATCAATTTTATATTTGAACGCAGTAATGGGCTAATCACAATCTAACCAAATATGTGATATTGATATGGACATATTTTCCCATTACTTTAATTTTGGAGTTTATAATTTTTTTCCATTTTTACAAAATGTTTTGTGGCATCTAATATTGACATAAAATTTTTATAAAATATTTTATGTCAATAAACGTATAAATAATGTTAGTCCATTACTGCAAGTAAGCTCTTTATCTGGTAAAGATGAAACTTTTGTCGCTTACCTATTTTATTCTTCGAAACGAACTTTACAACGAAGCTCACGTCGTTGAGAGCTCCTTTATACGGATTGTCGGCGACGACTTTCGCCGTGTCCGGCGAGAATTTCATGGACACCGTCGGTGCAAATCGATCACTCTTCCAGAAGTGTGTTACTCGACCGCTGTCGACAACCGACATCTTCAGATACATTTGTCCTTTTAGACCCTCGTGCTCATGCATCGTCTGAAGCGAACATCTCAGACGGTTTAGAGACAGTATCAACTGCCCGCCGCTGTCTTCATCTTTTTCACCCTTCGATAGACATAAAGACAATTCGACTTGTCCCTTTTTGTTCTCTTTCTGAAAGATTATTATGACGTACATATATTAATAACAAAATTAGATAAAAAAGAGTATAACGATATATGCATAAATAGAAATTTCAATGTAAGCTGATACTACGATTATTTCCAAAGAATTGTAAAAATAAAAAGAAAAAAGCTAGATGTAACTTAAATTACTTAAATGATTTTATTGTGGAAAATAAGATTTGTCTTAGAGAGAATCGTTAAAAGTATGCTTGCGCAGTTACACAAGAATTGCATGAATGAGTACCATACGATATTGTTATGTTAGCTTATAGGAATAAAATTTGCATGAACTTTGCAAGTAACATATTCCATTCTTCTTCAGCTTAAAGTGGCATAACTGTGGTTTCTGCGACCGCAGTACAGTTGTTACAAAACTGTGGACACTTACTCGTTCCTCGGCACCTGCGATACCACTGGCGATCGGTCGTAGTGGTTTCCACAGATCTCCTGTGGACACGTCACTGGCATGTTTTGATTTCGGCGGTTTACAAACGAAGTTCTTCGGATCAAGTGGAATTGTCGTCGCGCCAACAGTTCGCCTCTTGTCGTAGGCTCTTCTCTCTGCGACCGTGGGTTCCGCAAGCTTGTCGGAAGTCTTGCCAAAGAACTGGCTGAGAAGTTTATTCTTGGTGGTTTCTTGATCGGTAGAAGTGCTTTGACCTTCCTTCTTTTTCCCGCCCTTCTTCGGCGCCTCTTTAGTAGGCGACGTTTTATCTTTATCCGAATCCTTCTTTTCAGTCGCTATCAGAGGCTTGTCCTCAAGAACCGCGTAGAGAGTCGCGACGATAAATCTAGATCCGTTAATTTCCTCCTCGACGACTTTCGATTTGCCAAACTTTTGCTTGGTTTCCTTGCGCAAAGGAAAAACAAATTCCTCATTCCACTGCGGCCAGGATTCATTCCTCGAGGTAGTTTCGAACTTATCCTTTCCAGGAATTAGCTTCACCTAAAAAATTAAAATTGTCAATTTCTTTGATAGCAAACTCTGATTCAAACTTAATTACGATATATGGCACAAATTTTTTGGTAGAAATATAAGAATTAAATATGAGAATAAAAAATCAAACAGAAGTAGTAAAATTAAAGAAATTAATATATATGTATTGATTTGTGTTTATTCTATGATGAAAATAATTTTCACTTATGATTTATTGCGCAAATCTTTAAGAAATATATACGGATTAAATAAAAAATCAGATAGCTAATAAGCAATAGAGAGATTAATTTAGAATGATCAAAATTAATATATTTTAATCTGTGTTTATTTTGTAGTAAGAATACATTTTCTAAAGAATTCTTTGAATTATAAAATATACATTTCTAATTAATTGATAATTGATTGATTTTGTCAATTAATTAATTGATACATCTAGCGATATAGAGAACATTTATATTCCAATCACTATTGAGTTTTCTAGTAATAAATAATAAAATCAATTTTGAAATATTTATGACCGTTATTCTGGCAACAGATAATATTTCGTTAACGATCCGTGTACAGCACGTGTACCTGTTCCCGAAATATATTGAGGTGTTAAATCGATTTCTGTTACATATATAGATGTTTAGCGATACGTTCTATACTCGCGACAATGTCGGAGGAGGTTGTAAAGAACATTCTCTCGTCAGTCAATAAGATACTACAGTCAGTGCCGGATTCCTATAATACGTTACTCATACGACATTACGTAATCATAGATAACACCCAGGAGTGCTGCGAGCGTCTCCGACTTACGCGTAATTCAGGCTCGAGTACGGTGAAGCGTAGCGGAGCGCGATCTTGTAGTTTGCATAGAAGTGTTGACGTCGTTTGTCATCTCCGACGCACATTTATCGAACGACGTGATTGTTATATTTCATCTCATTTTATCAGTGCAGACAAATTAAATTATGTATACGAAAAAAATATTAAAAAAAAATAAAATAAAATCATTGTTAAATCTATGGATTTAAACATTAAATCCGTTTGAATTATAGATTTAAACGTTAAATTCCAGCGTTAAATGTGCCTCGAAAATACGAGCCGTCGATGTGACATATGAGCTTTTTGTTTGCACAAATGCGATCATCGATCCATATTCTCGAGTCATTTCTCTTCTCGTGTTTACTCTACCTTCACGACGTAGCTATTGACTCTGGTGAAGCCGAAGTTCTGTGGCAAGTGTCTGGCGCCGAGAACTGTGACGTTTAGTGTCTTGTCGTTTGGCGAGTGCACGATCTTAATGCCGATTTCCGGCTCCAGATTCACCGTGCGGTCCAACGGCGTGGACACCGTCTTCAGGCTGTTGTCGATAAAAGTCCTGATCTTGGCCAGCGCCATGCTCGTGCAAAATAATTGTCCTCACGAAATCCCAATTACGGCTTATCGGCAAACGGGTGATTTAGATAACGGTTGATCACCATAGGCCCGGTAGCGTTGTCTGCGAACGCTGCAAAATTCTATCGTGAGCGCCTTACTATTGAGCTAGCTGATGCACAAGCGCACGCTAAAGGTGTGCTATTAATACGCGCATGGATATATAATACGACGTCATGCTCGCTCGCGGTTGTCCAGAGTCACCCGATTTTCGGAACAGCGCAAAGATTATGTGCTATGGCGACAAGAATTTCCGTAGATATCTTTGATAACGAGACCTTCATTTCATTGTTATCTTGAAGGTAGTAAAAACGTCTATTAAAACGATTTAACAATCTTGTTTTACTTCAACATTTTATCAGCTGTGTTTATTATTTTTGATTCTTATGAGAATAATTCCTTAAAATTATCTCATTTATAAAAAAAGTAGAAGTGCCTTAATTATTTTACGATATCGACTGATTATATATCGCGCGATGCTATAGCGTTTCTTATTTTATAACAGAGAATAGTAGTTTTGCAGACTTGCATATGTTTATAAAACGTTTACTATCAGAAAGACGTTAGAGTATAACATCCGCCACGCTCCGGACGATTCTCTCGACTTTCGATCGCTGAAATTTTTCGATCGTAAAGTGTGATCGTAAATTCTTGCAATCATAAAGCAGCGTGCTTTCTCTTCTCATTGGGCAACACAATGCTTCTATCATCAACAACAGGTGATTATCAGCTGTTCCGAATCGACAACGGCTCCGACTCTTTCGCTCCCGGCGCAATAAAGCCGCGTACATGCAAGAGCAGGACGTTCGAGTGCATCGAAGAAACGAACTAACCGCGATCGAACTTTCCCCACGAGAAAGAGGAAAAAAAGCTTCGCTCCGTCGTGACCACGCCGGGTACCGTCGATCGATCCGGAGCGATCGCGCGACCCGCTATGCAGCGAGCGCGGAACGCCGCGCCGCGAGGAAAATCGCGTTTAATCCGATGGCACCGGCCTCCATTATCGCGTCATTAACTAAGGCGAATTGACGAAGTAAATGCGATAGAGACGCCTGGCATCACCCTTCTTCTTAATAGAGACTTTAACGCTCGGTGTGTCATCCGGAGTTGGAAAAAAACAAACGCGGTAACTACCAATCTTCTTACGGTACCCCTCAGTATTATTGTTCCGTTCACGAATTGAATCAAATTTCGCTCTAATTATATAATTATTTGCTTTTTAGAGCAAGTTCCTTCGTGTCGAAGCAACGGTAACCGCAGTAGAATTTTCATTCTGTTTATTTAATCTCTTTAATTAATTGCTTAACCGGTGTAAGTTTTTTGCTATTACTAGAAACATCCGGAAATGATCCGTTATACGTATAATTCCCCGTTCCAATTTGACGCGAGCGTGCGCGGTTTCGAATTGCGGGAAGAATTATTTCGAATTACAATGCGCCCGACTCGGGTGACACACGCGTAGCGTGTCAGGTAGCTTGTTCCACGCGCGACAGTAATATCGGAGTTATTTGTAAACCAATGACGAGTCGTGGAATTGCGCGACCCGCGAGAGGCAAAATTTGCACGTACCATAATCACGATTCCGGGCGATTCGGAGCAAATTGCTGCTGGCGGCAATGCTCTCGGCCGACCGACCGAGATCTCGAGCGAGCAGGAAGAGGATCGTTGTTGAACCGGCGACGAGCGGCAACAACGGTCCGCAAACGGATCCACGTCTGACGGCAGGTCCGTGACTGTGGAGGGATCCTCACGGCGCGATCGTCCCGTCGATGGCCAACGGTGTCAGACGCGCTATACCACCGGTCACACCGTAAGCGATCGAACGCGTATACACGCACCACCACCTCCGTCGCCGATCGCCAGGGGGAATTCACCGAGGGCTTTCACCGCACCACGCCGCCGTCCGCAACTGTGTTCGCAGCGCGCAATCCACCACGCATCACGGACGTACCCGTGATCGGTTCAGACAGTCATCGACAATCGACAGCGAGATGTGTAGGACCCCATGAATGGCTGCTCCGGTAGGCGATTGCGTGCGTGCGATCGCGTTGTTGTTGTAGTCGTGACAGTCGTTGTCGGCTCCGTTTGCGCGCGACGCGCCGCCGTGGTATGCAGCTTGCTTTCGCGTGGGTTCCCTTTATAAGAGATCAACGTGGCCGGTTTACAGTGGCGGACCACTAACAAGGCATCTTCGGATGGGTACCGGTCGGGCAGGAATTTGTAAAAGAACAGACGACGCGCATGCAAGAAATTTGCCAGAAGGATATGTATACCTTCTCACGTGTCTTATGTATGAATTGTAACACGTACAAATTTGTTTTAAATATTTCTTGCTTATTTTTTTGTACAAAGTATGCCTATGTACGCAATAATTGTTTTAATTGTTTATTATTCTGCCGCTCTGAACACATTTAATATACAATTAAATCTTTTATAATTATAATAAATAATTTTAAAGTTAAAATTGACACAAATTTGGAGACTCCAATATCTACAACTACGGTACTGTCGTAAAAGTAGCCGTTAAAGTAGGGGATTTACTTGTACCCGCTATCGTGCCGTCTCTAGGTTGTAGAGTTGTGGTAGTGGAGTGACGCCTGTTGCGCTCACAAGGTCGTGCACACATTCACATTACACGTTGTATATGTGCAGGTGCGTGAATGTGCAGGTACGTGAATGTGCACGAGCTTCTGCGTGAGTAAACACAACTACATGAATGAGAGTCTGAGAGGGTATACGAAAGCAGGACTGTAAGTAGCCGTATGTTCTCCTTATCCGAGACAACGTCAGAAAGGCATAAATAATATAAAGTATTTTCGATAAAAAAGTACTAGAGTTTTTTTTGGTATTAGAACTGGTAAAATTTTAATATACTAGAGATATTCTAATAATATTTAAAAAAAGTAGAAAATTTATGGATGGAAATAGGAATTTAGATAATATATCGGGACGATATATATCACAGCGATAAGCAAGCATAACAAAGAGATTACTACGAATTGGTGACGAAGAATTGAATTGAGTGGCAAAGTATGCGACTTAAACCTGTATAAGAATGATAACTATGAATCGATAAATCGTAAAGGATACAATAGCACTGCATTCCGTCATGTATGATGCGCACGATATACATCATTTTATCCTTGTTGTTCATGAAATGTTAAACAAGGATAAAATGATACATCATGCGCATCATGCGTGAAACGGAACACACCTCGTGTAGTTGTAAATTCATACATCTTGACCGACGCGTAGAAGAAACTAATTGTAAAAAACGTCACACAATTATCTCGTGTAGGCAGCTCGAAAGAATGCGGTAAAGAATATCGCGCTGCATAGAAAATTAATCGTGGCAGCTGCATTAGAATACGATGCCTCCAATGTGTTGCTGTTAGAAGCACTCGTTATCATGAGATAAATTATTTAGAAATATAATTTATTTAGTGATTACATTCAGATGATCCTATCTAAAAAAAGGTATGTTAAGTCGATAACTCGCATTTCTCGAAATTATTTGTTACCGTTTTTCCGTGATGCTGATTGGTTATCTCACTATGCTTACTTTGTTGAGCGGCTGTCATTATATATTTTGACAATTATTATGTATATTGAGATTTGTTTTAGTAATATTGTAATAGCAATAGGTTAATAGTGTAATAGTAATGTATATATTGTAAAATTAATTATTACTGCATTATTTCCTATTCTGACGTTGATAACAATTTTTTTTTTCTCTTGGACTTCAAGATTATTTCAGATAAGTTTTACTAAACACATTTTTATTATAAAACTTCTTCTTAATATATATTTTACTAAAAAAAATGGATACTTTGTGTTGTATTTTTTCTTTTAGGTATCAGTTTTTGTTTAACAAAATATTATAATAGTGTTAACATTATCTTTTTAATTGTAATCAATAGATATGTCACAATATGTTTTTTACAATAATTAAGAGAAAAAGGAATTAAAGGAATGAAATAGTGAACAATTATGTATGTAACATACGAAGGTGAACATGTACTTATATGTAATATTTTATAAAAGACCAATGAATTTAATTAGACACAGCATGACAATTAGGTATGTAACAAAAACTGATACCTGAAAAAAGAAAGTAAGACGAGAAAGAAAGAAAGAAGAGTAAGCGTTTGAAAC